GCTAATAGCGATGTGCCGTGCGTGTGCGTGTATGTGTGTGCGCGTGTGTGCGTTTTTGGTTTCTTTTTTCGAGTTGAGTTCTGTTCTAATAGCGTGTTTGTGTGTGGTTCAGGTGTTGCTTCTTCGGCCGCCTTCAGTGCTATGGCTGCGAAATGTGCTGGTGCTTACTCACTAGCCGCACTTCATCTGGAAGGGGACGCTTTCGAATCGACAGTTGTTGTGCGGCGAATAGAGGCGGACGGGAGCGAAGCAGTCTCGGCTGGTGTAGTCCACAGGACCTGCTCATTGAATCGTCATCCGTTGGCTCACACCACTGACCATCCTAAACGACCTCTCGCTGGCAGCCACAGTGGTGTCGTTTACAGCGAGATTGTGGACTTGAAACAGTCGATTAGTTGTGATTTTTGAAAAATATTTTCAGTTTGTTCTCAAGAAGAATGGCATACTTAATAACTTTGTTTATGTCGCACTTCCTGCTCTCAGTTCTTTAGTTATTCCTTCTATCGTGACACTTATTAGATGCAGACCATAGAAGAAATGTCAAAAGCGTAGATTCTAATTTACTTTTGTTATCTGCTTGACCAACGGTGTAAGTATGGGCATCATAGTTGGTGTGTGAGTGGATGTTGTCGGTGTGCCTAATATTCCTTTGTGCAAGCCTCCCAGTGATCATCCGCCTTGCTTTTACATGATAACATATGAAAATGTATTCTTAAAAGTGGTTCCCCTCAGCGGGCAAAATTTGGAGTTCGTCTATTCACAAAGACTGGCGAATCATAAATTTTCCCCTTTCATTCTTCACATCATTCAAGAATTGAGAGGAATCCTAACGTTTGCTCATACATTGTTCCACTCTTGCCCTTATAGCAATCATAAGCATAGAATCGATCCTCGGGTTCATGCAAATCACTTCGAGCAACTCCCATGCACCTATGAAACCGTACACGGGTGTGTTCTCAGCACTGCTAATAGTTCTGCATGGAAATTGTACTAGGATTTCGTTCCTGTTTTCTTCATTGCAAATTAGCCTTGAATGTGACTGAGGAGAACAATGTACGCTCTTAGTTTGTAATTATTCTCATCTTTTGAACTTTGATCTCTTTGAATGCATACT